GATCACCTACAAATCTCTTTTATGGAAGACCTTATACTTCCTAAAAGCATCTCCTAGTTGGGCTTTCTTTTCTATTATAAATAAAAGACTAACTTGATCCAGTATGCTATCTCAAATCATTTTAAACTTACTATTTAAATCTAGCCTACATATCCTCTGAAGACTCTCAGGTCAATTTCCAGTTGACAAACAGATCTAATATCTAGAATAAAGCCTAAAATAGTTATATCCAACTCTACTAAAAAACAAAAAAAGGAAAAGAGAACGTACTTAGCAAGCATAAACCCTACACTCTCAAAAAATCTTTCTTAGAGAGTTCACACGATCTTTGTTCTTCTTCAGGGCAAATTCACACGTACTTTATTTTTATTTTTGTAACATTGGAAATTCTTTGGAAGTTCAGCTTATAATGTAGGTCAAGAAATAAGCACCATGTTATATCAAAAGCTAATAGAGTGTCTAGCCTCTGGTTTAGACTATACCAAGTGTCACAAAAACATTGCAATTCCACAAGAATAAGCCACTAGATATATTTCTATAATAAAAAGGCATAGGCTGAAGTTTGATTACCTTATCAATCAACTGGCACCATTGCAGGAGCTATCAGGAGGGGAGTACCTGGGGCTGGACATTACACCTCATATATCTTTTTAGTGAAATGTTCCTGTCAATTAGGTGACAAGCCCATAACCATAAAAACTTACCTATTGAGTCTGACCCCTGCTGAGCTTGGCATTTACTTGTGGTCTAAATGTTGCTGGCATAATGGACCATTCCCATTTCCAGATTAAAGGTTTTAATAAACTCCACCAACTAGTTGACTTAAGCAGGTGATGATGAGAGTGGTTGTTTTGCTGCTTTGGTTGGATCAACAAGAGAGCACTGGGCTGTGGCTTGCCTGTGGCTTGCCCCAGAAGCATTCATCTCTGGGAAGACTTAGTGAGCTGTGATTTCTTAACCTGATTTTCTGAGACATCCAGACGAATTTGGAACAGTCGTGTCTTTTTGGCATGGTGATGCTTAATTTTTGTTGTCCCTGTTGAATTTACAAGCATTCATCAGGCTACCTGTTGACATAACACTTTACTGAGTGCTAGGGAAGGGGGACTGGTGTTGGTTCCCAATGATTTTGAACATGAGGGCATTCCTTTTAAAGTTATATTTTCTTAATCAGATGCTCACTTGTATATAAAATGTCAAAAAACCTATATACTTATTAATAGTTTTAAAAGGTTTGTATTTTTAAAATGACAATCTATTGTTCAGTTAGTTCAGTTCAGTCACTCAATCATGTCCGACTCTTTGTGACCCCATGGACCACAGCATGCCAGGCCTCCAACTCCTGGAGTTTACCCAAACTCATGTCCATTGAGTCAGTGATGCCATCCAACCATCTCATCCTCTATCGTCCCCTTCTCCTCCTGCCCTCAATCTTTCCCAGCATCAGGGTCTTTTCAAATGAGTCAGCTCTTCGTATCAGGTGGCCAAAGTATTGGAGTTTCAGCTTCAACATCAGTCCTTCTAATGAACATTCAGGACTGATCTCCTTTAGGATGGACTGGTTGGATCTCCTTGTGTTCCAAGGGACTCTCAAGAGCCTTCTCCAACACCACAGTTCAAAAGCATAAATTCTTCAGCACTCAGCTTTCTTTATAGTCCAACTCTCACATCCATACATGACTACTAGACTATTTATTAATAGTTTTAAAAGATCTGTATTTATAAAATGACAATCTATTGTATTAATTAATATATACAGAAAATATAGTATATAATATTGTTAGTCTCTAGGAAATAACATACATGGGTTCTGATTCCTATATTCCTTTTAGCAAATTCATGATCACTCAAGGGTCCAAATATTGGCCTCAGCGTCTTCAAGCTAGGAAATAATGATGTAACTCCCTCCACAGATGAAATAGACTACAATGGAGAGAAGTAGGGTTTATTGGAGTTTTAACATTTAGAATAAAAATTTGGAACTATGTAACCGTTGTTCAATTCAGAGCCATGTGGTGTACTTACCCAACATCACAATCTTAGTGTTACCTGAAGAAAAATGTTCCTAGTAAAGTTTAAACAGATTCTCTTTTCTTATACTCCTTCTATGTACGATTATGTCATAGTTTGGTTTGCTTCATATCCTGATTGTAACATTTTTTATACAGTTGTATGTTTTACTTGGAGCATTCAACTGTCTTTTATTTTTGTTGAGGTTAAAAATATGTCTTCCTAAGGATATTACTCATGTCTTCTTGCTTCTTCCCTACTATCTATTGCCCAGAATTCAGTTCATTCTATTTCCTGAAGATATTTTTTGAAGCCAATGCTTTCTGTTGTAGTATAAACTGATTTCTTTCTAGATCTAATAATACCTACCTTTTTGGGATTTCTTTTCATTGGATTCCTGGGTTAATTTTGTTGTCTTTCATGACATATCTTCTCAATTTTAACCCTCACTGAGATGGAATATAGCTTTCAGAGACTTGTGAAGAATGAATATGGGAGGTAAATATTCTCTCACCATTTGAATGGTAACATACTTTAGCTTCAAAATAATTTTCCGTTAAAATATTGATGACACTGTTTTCAGTGTTTCTGATGAGATCTGTGTTATGAGCCTGAGTCTACTCCTTTGAATATACAGCTGCCAGGTAAAATATGAGGTCAGTTAAATTTGAATTTAAGATAATCAACAATTTTTTAGTAAAAGTATGTCCCATGCAATGTGTGATATTTTGAGCATATTTATACTAATAAATTATCCATTGATTATCTAAAATTCAAAAGTAATTGCAATGTCTTGTATTTTTATTTGCTAAATCTGGCAACCCTACTTGAAAGCCAGCAAACTTTTTCCCTATAAATAACTTATAATCTTCTCATTACTCTTGGTGTTTTGAAATTTCCTAAGGATATGTATAAATGTGACTTTATTTATTTTTAATAAAAATTTATATACATAAAAAACTATTTTTATTTAAATAAAAATATGCATTTTAATTAATTAATTAATTTTAATTAGAGGATAATTACTTTATAATATTATGGTGGGTTTTGCCATACAGTGATATGAATCAACCAGGTTTTTAAAATCCATATTGCTTAGTACATTTGGGCCTTACAATCTCTTTCAGCTTTGAGAAATTTTATCTATTTTTTGGTAATAATTTTCTTCCCTTCATTTTCTGTTTTTGAGAATCTTAATTAGCTTGATATTGGGTCTTCTGAATCAAGTCATTATAGCTTTAATATTTTTGCTTCTGTTTTCTGAATCTACCTTTCCCTTTATGTCCTGATGTGTTTACTCAATGTTAACTCCAAAGTTTACTCAATATTAACTCCAAAGTTTTTGGTAATCAAAATTTTAATTTCTAAGAATTCTTTATTATGTTTTACATGGTCATTTCCTTGACATCTTATCTTCAATTATGGACACACTTGTTCTCATATATCTTCACGGATATAAATTTTGCTTGGTTTTGGTTTAAATTCTCAACAATTTCCCAGATTATTTTCTATTTCCTTTGGAGTCAGTTTTGATTGTTTATCTCTATTTTGTTTTTCAGACATTTACCCTCATGTATTTGGAAGTCATTTTTTATCCACAGTTAGGGATGAAGGACAAGGTAAATGATTTTAGGTAGTGGAGAAGATTTCCTCCGTTACATACTTCTCCACTGAATAGAAAGGATGACAAGAAGCTCTTCATATGCCAGTTGACCTTACCAGACTCTGATGAATGTAAGCAGATGAGGTGCCTGGAACCTTCTATATGCCAGAATTACTGTTCTAGGATCCCAACACTAATGGGTCTAGTTCTCCTTTTTTTTTTTTTTTTTTGGAGAAGAGACATATTACCCCCCTTAGATTACAGCTGTACTGCTTGTCACTTTTGGGAGGGAGTGCATTGGTCACCTTCCAATTGGCTTACTTCCTTTGCAGATGTCCTGAGTTGTAAATTCTATAGTTTTGTTCCATTTGCTTTTTGTCTTCCAGAAATTTGTTGAAATCATGAATTCATTGGTGGTCCCTCCTCATTTTCTTCATTGTTACAGATTGAGTTTATTAAAATAATTCATGGGGAGTATTGGGAATGAGAGAAGACAAATGGATGGATTCAGTTTATAATCTTGAACAAGAAGTTCATCCCTTTCATCTCACTTTCTATCACTTCCTTCTGAATGTTCTCTAATGAAAATATTTTATATCTTCAAGGATGCATTTTAATTTACAAATCACATTTAAGTGCATGCTCATTTACCCTTCAGAAGTGGGTACACATGTTTTTATAAAAAGAAATGTTTAAAAATAATACCTCACTTTTTTTCTGAAATAATGACATAGTATATGTGAATGTGCCTAGTATAATAACTAGTACAAAATAGTTGCTCAAAAAATATTGCATTTTTTAGTATTTTATTTTCAGAACTTAGGGCTCCAGCACATTTTCTGTCATGTTGGTACAAAGAGATATATGGGTATGAATTGCTTGAAAAAGAAATGAAAAAAATACCTATCCCTAATCTACCTTGTGGTTAGAAGTAAGGATTAGTGATCAAATTTCCATAAAATATTTTAAATTTTATGATAAAAATAAAGTCAAAGATTTTTATCTTTTAAGATAAAAATAAGTCAAAGATAAAACTTACTGTGAAACTTGTGAAATTATTTATTCTATTGTAGCAAACACTGTTGAATACTTCTAAACACAGTGACAAGCTATTTTTAAAATTAAACTCTAGGTTTATTAAATCATGAAAATGCCACATGACTGTGATTTAACCATGAGACACCTGAAGATCATAGGGTTTGAGAAGTTTACCTAAGGTTAAATAGCAAGTAAATAACTGAACTAGAGCTCATACCCAGATCTTCTGACATCAAATGAATACCCTTTCCTCCATACCACTGATTTGCAAGCTTCTAAGAGGAAATTCGCTGCATGATAAGAATGAACTTGTTCTGTCACTTAAATATTAATAATGTTTTATTTTCAGTGAAATTGTATGCTTTAACAAGTCAAGTCATCAATGGTGAGATGCAGTTCTATGCCAGAGCTAAACTCTTCTATCAAGAAGTACCAGCTACAGAAGAGGGTATGATGGGAAATTTCATTGAACTGTCCAACCCAGATATCCAGGCGTCTCAGAAATTTCTCAGGAAATTTGTTGGGGTGAGTATCCAACTGTAGTTTGATTAGGAAGCAAAGTTCTGGCAAACAATGAGCTCACATGCTTCTGTGTTGTCACTTCAGTCATATGAAAGCTAAATGGGTGAGCCATGAGTTTAGTGTCAAAGCCTGTTTTAAGAGGTTCAAAAAGGATGGGTCACATTAAATGACTGGTTTATCCTAGTTGGCATTTCACCCTCCTAGAACCAGCTTATTTCTTATGCTTCAGGGGAAGGTGAATTAGCAGTGTTAATATTTACAAGTAGTAGATTAAGAAGACTTCTCTTTCAGATCCCATAGATAAGCAGTTGACGCTCAGATGACTGATGAGAGATCATGCCATTTGGGATCTTGGGGTGATTTATTGAGTCTCTGTAATAAAAATTCAACGTTGCAAGGAAATGCAGGCTTTTGTTTAGTTTAAAAATGGTAAGTATAGTAAAATATCTTTATATTTTTTTATACACAGTTGAGACATTGCCTTGAAAAAATGTGATCCCTTTATAGATTTGGTGTTGGGTAAAACTCCAGTTCCTTACTTTCAGGCCATATGGAGATGGGTTATTTACTTTAGGGGCCAGAATCTTGGGCTCCAGAGTCATTATGGTCCTTCTTACTGTATAAGCCACCTTGGGTTTACTCCTTAAATTCTCTTAAACCTCAGTTTTCTTATCTGTGTCTAGAGTATAACCACAGAACCTATCTTGTAGGATAATGTGAATCTCAAATGAGATACTATATGTCAAATGTCTACTTTAGTGCACATAATTATTATGCAATATAGCTCATTTATTGCTACTACTGATAACAAGCTTTCATATAATTCGGTCATTGTATTTTATGGAGCTTCATTTAGTTGGGGCTTCCCTGGTGGCTCAGATGGTAAAACATCTGCCCGCAATGCGGGAGACCCAGTTTCGATCCCTGGGTCAGGAAGATCCCCTGGAGAAGGAAATGGCAACCCACTCCAGTACTCTTGCCCAGAAAATTCCATGGACGGCAGAGCCTGGTAGGCTACAGTCCACGGGATTGCAAAGAGTTGGACACGACTGAACGACTTCACTTTCACTTTTTCATTTAGTTTTCAGAACAGACAACCCACACAATAAAGCTGCTGTTAGTTCTACTGAGAACAAAGTCCTAACTAGCAAACAGGTTTAGTTCCAATTCACTATGAAGTTATTCATCTGAAATTGGACTCCATTTTATTCTGATGAAGGAACCATTAAGAATATTACAAATATTTGGGATTAGGTTGTCAACCTATTTAGAAGCATAATATTAATAGTTTCCCTAGTGTTGAGGTGAGGTTCACTTTATATCCAACTTTCTCTGAAGCACCCTTTGCCTGAGTACAGAAAAATAGGATCAGGATGGAGCGCTCATTGGGGCAAAGTGTCTGGACATCAACTGTGGCCATAAAGGACTATGAAACTAGAGATGATGGCTGGGGTTATTTATAGATAAGGTTAACCTGAAACATTTTAAAATCAGTGTTACTGACTGACTTCACTGAGCACTTTATCTGAGATAGTCACTTTGATGAGCAGTTTAGAAGCACTGTCTTATCTGTTCTTCATAATAATTTAGGGAGGTAAGTACTATTATTATTTCTCATTTTCATGGTTGGGGAAACTGAGGCTTATAGAGATTAAGTATGTTTTCAAGGTTATGCAGGTGGTAAGAGACAGAGCTGGGACTCATGCCTGGCAAGGTCTGTCTGATACCAAATTCCCAGCTCTTATCCACGACATATTTTTCCATTTGTTTCATGAAGCAGAAAAAATCCCTGCTCTCTCTTTCTGTGTGTGTGTGTGTGTGTGTGTGTGTGTGTAGACCACAGACCTCAACTCTCTCCCAATCTGGCCAAGAGCAATCCCTCCTGCTCGCCTTGAGGTGAAGCTGACTTTGATCCCAGTGCATTTCAGAAGCTTAGTCAGTAATCCGGCTGTCTTGTCACTCCATGTGGAATGCCAAACTGACCACAGGGATGCTGGTCAGACAGAGCCCATACACAGGCCCACGGACCTGGGAAAGGAAACAGCCTTCTGCTGGCATATTTATGTTGGAAATGAGCAGTCTGCTCTTTTCAAACAAATATAAGGAGTCCTTCTTAGTAGACAGGGCTCATTGTGAAGCTGTGACCTCAAAGTACAAACATAGTCTTTTTAAAGAAACGATATTTTGGTACTTTGACCTTAATAATATGCTAAATTAGTATCCAGGTCAAGATACAAGGAGTTAGGGAATATGAGTATCTGACATGATTTATCCTTGTGTCAACTGGGAAAAGGCAGATTGTTTAATTTAAAGTTTTGCTTTTCTTTCAACACTTAGTGACCTGGGACAGTGAGAAAACACTTTTAAACTTGTTGCAAATGTGCTTACTTTAGCAAATAAACAAATGATATCAAGATAATATCAATGGCATAGCTGATAACATTCCTTACTTTTAGCTTTTTGAGGGGAAAGTAAAAATTTATAAAAAGTAATTGGTATTTGATGGTTTTATCTCTTGATATTTCTCAGAGATTGGATGACTGAAAAATTGGGGGCTAACTGTATTTCATGGTTTTTATACAGTGGTATTTAACACTTTATTTTCAAACTCCAATGGAAAGAAGGTTAAATAATGTTCTTTGAAACAAAAGACATAGGCAGAATCAAAATGAAAATGAAATTTCTAAGAGTATTTTACTATTTTATATGAATCCATAAATATGAAGATGGGGTAATAAAAGTAAAGTTCTGAAATCACACATTTATGTGGTTTTGGTCACATTCACAGAGGTGCATAAAATTTCAATCTAAGCACAGTAATAAGCAGCCATAGTGTCCAAGAGAGTAGAGATGCTGTCCCAGAGGTCAGTCTTTAAATTTCTCTTCTCAGAGGCACAGCATGAGAATGAGAGAAAGAGGAAAAAACCTGGTCCCAGGATATTTGAGGCTGTGCCAAACACATGGAATGGCATGGAATAAAGACAACTAGGCAGTAGTGGTGAGGGGCAAAGGTGCACCTGATTTGAGTAAAAGGCATCTTTTGTATATTTATATAACAGTTTTTGTGTTTGTGTATTCATGTATAACATGTATAACAGTGTATTTGTGTGTATATATCATGTATTTATATTATGTATAACAGTATTTGTGTATTCGTGAGTACGTGTGTGCTCAGTCACCTCAGTCATGTCTGACTCTTTGTGACACATTAGATTGTAGCCTGCCAGGCTCCTCTCCAGGCAAGATTAATGAGTGGGTTGCCATTCCCTTCTCCAGGGCATCTTCCTGACGTAGGGATCAAACCAAAGTCTCTTGCACTGTAGGCAGATTCTTTACTGTCTGAGCCACCAAGGAAACCCACATTTAATTATATGAACTTGACCTAAATGAAGTTTACTTAAAGAGGTAACTGAGTGTCAAGACTCGGGGTGAGTGTCTGTCATTGGACTGTTCCACAAGGTACCTTTCTGCAGGGCCCTGGGAGAGCTGGGACGGACTGTGCCTTGGACTGCGGCTCCGGGATAGGAAGGGTCAGCAAGCATGTCCTGTTGCCGGTTTTCAACACCGTGGAACTGGTGGACATGATGGAATCGTTTCTCCTTGAAGCACAGAACTACCTGCAGGTCAAAGGGAACAAGGTAGAAAGCTACCACTGCTATAGCCTGCAGGAATTCACACCCCCACTGGGAAGATACGACGTCATCTGGATTCAGTGGGTCATTGGTTAGTTCTGCATGGCATTGCATCTTCCCTTCTCCTCGCTAACTGGAGGGCTTGAGGAGGCAGAACAAGGACACAAAGGGATATTTGGTTCTAGCTGCACTGAGAACAGTTAGCTAGTCTAACATATAATGGGAACTCCGCCAATGCTCTGGTCCTCTGGATTCTGCCCCTAACATCCACTGAACAAGGCTGGCAATTCCCATTCTTAGGATGGAGTGTCTTTGTGCCAACCTAAATCCTAGAAGAAAACTGGATATTTGAAAAACTTTAAAAAGTGTATCCCCATTATTGACAAACCTTGGCTTTCTTAGATTTAAATTCTCAGGAAATGAGATAGCAGTGAATTAGATTTTGGTCTGCGTGTGTGTGTGAGTGTGTGTGTGTGTGTGTGTGTGTGTGTGTATGTGTAGGACACAGGAATGATAGCAGAGTTGAGTTGTTCAGCAGACACGGAGTGAATCCAAGGGATGAGGAGTGGTTTCTTTTGTGCCTGGGAGGTAGATAGACTAGGTTGGTATAATAGCTGTTTTACAGAGCGTGCACTGATTCCCCTCAAAGATGATACCTGCCCTCTTACCTAAATTCTCAAAGCCTCCCGCAACAAAACAATGCAGGCTATGAAATAATTCCTGAATGAGTGAACAAACAAGCTCCTGATTTGTAACCTTGTGCCCTTTCAGTCTTTCCTACTCACCTCCTTCCCCACCCACCCTTTCATCCTGTTCCCCCATTTACTTGGCCTCACCTGTAGGGTACCTGACCGATAAAGACCTTCTTGCGTTTCTTTCCCGGTGCCGAGATGGCCTGAAGGAAAATGGCATCATCATACTGAAGGACAATGTGGCCCGGGAGGGCTGCATCTTCGATCTTTCTGACAGCAGCGTGACTCGGGACATGGACATCCTCCAGACCCTCATTAGGAAGAGTGGGCTGGTGGTGCTGGGCCAGCAGAAGCAGGACGGCTTTCCAGAGCAGTGCGTCCCGGTGTGGATGTTTGCGCTGCACCGCGATGGAAGCTCCTGACCAGCTGCCGGAGTGAACGACTGCCCTGCACAGTGGTGCTTTGGGAAGAGTGGCTCTCCTCTGATTCACAAGTTACATCCCTTGTGATCCATGGAGGAATGAACAGAAGGGAGGCAATGTATGTTTCAAAACAGTTGATGTCACGTTTCCACTAATTATGTAAGTACATGCACACACGCTGTGACTTTTCCAAAAGATAAATGGAATGTGACATCTGGAAAAACATCTAAACCGTACCAGTGTACCCATAAAAACAGGAAAAGGAGCAACATCCACAAAATATAAACTGCGTTGGTCTCTGAAGATTTGCATTAAAGAGTAGTTTAGGGTGGGTGAGATGAAGTCTAGACCACCTTTCTATACCCTCATGCTAGATACTTTATACTTCCTTCCTTTGGGAATATTACTTCTCTTAGAAAAAAGTCTCCCCCTAATTAAGAAAGCACCAGTGAAAATAACCTTGTAAAACAATTCCATTACTTAATTTTGTCTTTAGCAGAAAAAAAGAATATGGTTTCACTTTCTATTTTGGGTCAGTTTTGCTGTCCAATGATGTAATATGGATGTAATTTCTTAACAGAAGTCTGCATTTCAGTGATGGGAAAGTGTCTCCTTTCAGGAGAAAATGTTTTACCCTTGAATTTCAGCTGTGAACATGTAAGTGAATGTCATTGATAATCTAGTCACTGGCTTCTAACACAACTTGCTTCATTGCAGTTGCTCCTGTTTCCTTGATTGATAAGAATGTACACTGGAAAGAGATAGGAAATGGTAAACCTGAAAACTGAACTAACTGCATTAGTTTAATTAAAAATATCTAAAATCTTTCAAAAACAAAAATGTAATTTAATTTCTATTAGCAAAATGTTTAAATATAACTCCTATTTTATTTAAATGCTCTAAAGTCTTCATGTGAATGATTTGTCTTTTGATGTATTATATATTGAGTCTTCTATGAAATACAATCAGTTTAAGTAAATAAAGTCTGTTAAATGCATATGCTATCACCCTAAAATCATTTTTATAAGTCATAGCTCTAACTTAAGAGGAAAATAATTATTATAAAACACTATGTTGATATAGCATGACTTAGTAGTTTGATTTTATGTCCTGGAAAATTATGTCACTCTGACACTGGCACCTTCCAGCTGTAGTATGTTATTAGTAACATTTTAGGGTAATGTAACAGAATGTGAGTTAAAACCATTACTGGAGAAACCAGAGACCAAAATTAAATAAAATGGTGAATCATTACCAAACAGAATTACTATGACAAAACAAGAATTCTCATGTTTTCATCCTCTATGTATTGGAAAAAATTAACTAAATCTTCATTTTCAGCCCATCCTAGGAATTTTCTGCTTCTTTTGCACTTAGCACCCTTATTCTCTTACTTCTTGACTTTCTGCTTTGCAAGTACTCACGTGCTGATTGACACAGTTGTCCATTCCTCAGCACCCCAGGTCCTGATCTCAAGGAAGAAATAACATAATTGTCCCATTAATATGGATACATAATCTTTAATTCGGTTGAATCTTTGGAATAGATCGGCAGTCCCTTTCCTCTTCCTATGTCATTTTCTGTTCTTAGAAAACTTCCAGATTTTTATTGTGCCACAAAAATTCCCAACTCCATATCTATTTTTGACTTAATTGATAAAGCAAAAATTAGGAAGTAAATTATACCACTAGCTCCTCCCTATAACAAGTTAATAACTAGTACAAGGTAAAGGGAAGAGTGGGCTTTCCTGTTGCCTTGCAGCCAAGAATCTACCTGCCAATGCAGGAGACATAGGTTTGGTCCCTGGAACTGGAAGATCCCCTGGAGAAGGAAAAGGCAATCCACTCCAGTATTCTTGCCTGGAGAATCCCATGGACAGAGGAACCTGGCAGGCGACATAGTCCATGGGGTCTCAAAGAGTTGGATACAACTGAAGCAACTGAGCATGCAAGTGTGCATGGACTGTAGTCCACCAGGCTCCTCTGTCCATGAAATTCTCCAGGCAAGAATACTGGCGTGGGTTGCCATGCCCTCCTCCAGGGGATCTGCCTGACCCGGGGATTGAACACTCATCTTATGTCTCCTGCATTGGCTGGTGGGTTCTTTACCATTAGTGTCACCTGGGAAGCTCAGGCTACAGTCCATGGAGTTGCAAAAGAGTCAGACAGGATTTAGCGACTAAAGGGAAGAGTAGCTTGAGAGGTGAGGCCATCAGAGTCAGAGCATGCTGCTGATAGTTCATGCGCAGGTTAGGATGTGTTTAAAGAACAATGGAAATATCTGAGGTTACCAGAAGGGGCTGAATTTTCTGGTTTTAGGAGTAGAGTCAAGGATTCTACAGAAGGAAGACTTTTGGAGTGAGATATACTCCAGCCGTCTTCAACAAGGCAAACATATTTCTGATGTTTATCAACACATCAGTGTTGTATGGTGAGTGACAATCTATATTAAGTCATAGTCCAAGTGCCCCCAAATCATTTGGGCAGTTTTAATAAGATAGAGATTCCCAGGCCTTGTCCCCATGAGAATCTGATTCTTTGAAATGGGATCAAATAGCTTGTATTTTTTAAGATCTCAAACTGATTCTGATCATTACTTTTGAGGATACTGATAAAAGAGGTATTGAGCTGGGCTCTTCAGAGTCAAAGGAAGATAAGATAGGGCAGGCAAGACGCAGGGTTTAGGGAAGTAGATGAATGCGGAAATTCATTCTCCACACCAATGCTATCTTTCTAAAACCTAAACTGACCATGTTATGTATAAACTTCCAATGACTCCCCATCACTGATAGGATGAATTCCCATCACCTTAGAATGACATAAAGCCTTTTGTGATCTAGTCCTGGCTTCTCTCTCCAGCCTCAGTTTTCCCACATTTCTTGAAATTGTGCTTAACTACTTATAGATCTCTCAAGGAGCTATGACTTACGGCACATGGCATTTATAGATGTTACTTCCTTATTTCTCATTCTTATTTTATTTTGTTTTTTAAAATTTTTTGGCCATGCCACATGGCATGTGGTATCTTATTTTACCAACCAGGGATCGAACCCATCAATGCCCCCTGAGCCGCCTGGCTCAGTGGGTAAAGAATCTATGGGCAAGGCAGGAGACACAGGACACACGGGTTTAATCCCCAGGTCAGGAAGATCCTCTGGAGGAGGAAAGTGGCAACCCACTCCAGTATTCTTGCCTGAAAAATCCCATGGACAGAGGAGCTTGGCGGGCTACAGTCCATGGGGTCCCAAAGAGTTGGACACCGCTGAGCAACAAAGTACACATGCGTGTTCTAACCACTGGACCATCAGGGAAGTTCCAGAATATCTCCCATTCTTTTTTGTCTCAGACTGCAAAGATATTACTGACTCTAGGAAAGCTTCCTTCCAGGTGCTGTGTTAGATGCCCCTCCTATGTGCCACCCTCATACCATCTGCTTAACATGTCACAGTACTTACCATGTGCCATTGTAATTGCCTGCTTACCTGTCATTTCCTCTACTAAACTCTGAGCTCCTCAATGGGACATTCATGTTAGAGCCTCAGTTTTTAGCATACGCCCTAGTTGTTGTTGTTTAGTCACTAAGTTGTATTTGACTCTTTTGAGGCCCCATGGACTGTAGCCTGCCAGGCTCCTTTGTCCATGGGATTCCCAGGAAGGAATACTGGAGTGGGTTGCCATTTTCTTCTCCAGGGGATCTTCCTGACTCAGGGATCAAACCCATGTCTATTGCATTGGCAGGTGGGTTCTTTACCACTTGCCCACCAGGAAAACCTATATCCCCTACTACACTGAAGTGATGTAGTGAAATGAAAGTCGCTCAGTTGTGTCCAAATCTTTGCGACCACATGGAACATACTGTCCACAGAATTCTCTAGGCCAGAATACTGGAGTGGGTAGCCGTTCCCTTCTCCAGGGGATCTTCCCAACCCAGGGATTGAACCCAGGTCTCCCACATTGCAGGTGGATTCTTTACCAGCTGAGCCACAAGGGAAGCCCAACTAATACACTGAAGGAAGTCCAAATTTTACTGAAAGTATGTAAGTAGAGAGACTCAGGGGACCGTCTGTTTCAAGAGGCATCAAACAGGAATCAGAGCAAAGCAGCAAGAAAAACCAAGAGCTTCTGAAGTTCCATCAGCACTGGAATGTACAAGATAGGTCCAAGGAGTGACGAAGCAATGTAAACTGGCAAGAACCAGGAAAGGAACAGAAATAAGGCAGCAGTAAGCTCAGGGGTCAGACGTATGGGAGAAGACTGTAGCAAGAAAGTTAGGTCTTGGGGCAAAATCCTGCCTAGTTAGGAAATCTCTTTTTTCAATAGGGGCCAATTCAAGGATATGGTCAACCAAAGACCCATAGTTCCATTAGGTGGGAAGGTATACCTCATAAAAGAGACATGTTAAAATTGTGAGTGAAACTGAAAAACAAACCAAAAAAAGTGAAAGTGTTAGTCACTTAGTCGTGTCTGACTCTGCGACTGCGTGGAATTCTCCAGGCAAGAATTCTGGAGTGGGTTGCCATTCCCTTCTCCAGGGCATCTTCCCGACACAGGGATCAAACCTGGGTCTCCTGCATTGCAGGTGGATTCTTTACCATCTGAACTACCAGGGAAGCCCTAATATTGTGAGTAGGTCTCAACAAAGCGACTTGTAATCCTCATCTGCCTCCTGTAAAGCAAAGAGTCCGAAGAAGCAGCTAAACTTAGAGGAAGTCATTCCTTTTCTGAAAATTGAAGAGAAGTGGAAGGTGTGCACCTGTACTTCATAGATGAATTAATCGCAAACATGTCTGCAATTGTAGGTGAACTTTGGAGGACCCCTTGGTTTATCCAATGATTCATGAAAGGGTGCAGTCTTCACCTACCTCCTCTTCTGAGAACCTGAGCCACCACTCCTCAGCAATAATATAGAAGCATGCCAAGTCTCAAGGGGTCAACAATTTTATAGATTCAGGATCATCATAAAAATATAAAACAAAATGAATAAGGTCATCCACATGAAAGATGAGCTGCTTTATATCGTGGACACATTTTGGCCCCATTCTGTAACTCCACCATTTCCTACAACTGGCCTGTTTTGAGTGATGTATTGGGGAGAAGACCTGTGTCAGATATATTCAGCTGCCTGTCAGGAGTAATTAAAACCAGTTGTGTTATTGCTTTCCTTAGTTCTAGCTGATTCTTTGATGCTTTGGTGTCTATGCCAGAAAAATACCTCTTATAATCATCAGAGGCCAGTGTTTTCACAGAGGTCACTGCAAGCTAATTAAGCAAATATGTGAAAAATAGTTTAAAATTATCTCAATTAGTAGAGTGTGTGTATACATGCATCTGGAGTGGGATTAAGGAAAGACTTTTAAAATAATAACTGACTTGCAGAGTTAGTGATTTGGTGTCAGAGAACTACACATATATAGCACCTTTGTACGTCCATTAAGTTGGCATGATTTTGTCCTTTTGCTAGGTGACAGGCTGTATTACTTACTGCAAATAAACATGTAGGAGATGTCCAAGAAGACTGTGACTCTGTAATGGGCAAGAGAGGTACATAAATAATAATAAATTAGGATAAAAAAACTAAAATAATAGAATGTACAAAGAATTAAATAATATAGACAATAGAGTGACTCACTACATCTCTGGGATTGGAAGGAGTTCACACAGATTCCATTCATTCAGCACATATTTTCTGAATGCCTACTATGTGCCACACACTGCTCTAGGGTCTCAGGATACACAGGGAGTAAAAGCCAAAAATCGCTGGCCTTGTGGAGCATGTATTTTAGGAGAGACAGTATTATAACATATAGAAATTAGTAAATTATTTTTTAATGTTAGAAAGTTGCAAATTTTGGAAAAAGAACAGGGAAAAATAGAGGAAAGTAAGGGGAATTGAGAGTCATGGAGGAAGATTGTAATTTCAAATAGTGGCCAGGATTGGTTTTGCTGAAGAGGTGACATCTGAGCACCAGGTTAAGAGGGTGACGGCACTGGCCATGTGGA